GATGTTATTATCCTCATCACTTGATAAATGTATAATAAATATATAATATGTAATAAATAATATAAATTAAATTATAATTTGTTGTTGGCCGTACGTGGCCAAAAAACACAGAGGTTAAATTTATACTTTTAGTTTTCATATTTTCAAGCTAAATGTTTAACAAGGGGAAAAGGCTTTGAACACTGGACTAACCAGTGGTACTGCTGAAGCTCCAGAGCCATTAATGTTAGCCTATACCTTCACAAAATCATGTAGTTAGCTAAGGATACGTTCATTGACTTTGGTATTAAGTAGTAAGCTGATTATCTGGGCAGTCTAACGTTGGCAGATTACATTAGAGTGCAAAAACACTCTATTTTTGCACAAAACACACTATTTTTAGCTTTGAAAGGCTAAAAAAGACCCATGCACAATGCTGAGGTATGTGGAGAAATGCTAAATTGTTGCTATCTAAGGGGACGGGGAACGGTCATTTTAGCATTTCTCCCCTGCAGGAACCTTTGCAGAAACATTTTAAACTTTAACTCAGGAACTTAATCTGCCTTTCTACCGGAGGAACCAGGATCTGAATTTCGTTCCTGGAGCACTTTTGTTCCTGGGTCTACTAATTAAATAATCAAATAATGAAAATAGCACTGGAAACAAGTGGAGATTTGTAATTTGATTTATGCAAAAATAAGATTAAAAGCCTAAATAAGACATACATACATATAGAATAACTTGCTAACTCTTCAGAGGCTCCAGATTAGCAGCGCTGCGCTTTCTCTCAGTGGGTGCTGAAGAGCTCGCCCCCCGGGGGGCAGCTTCGCGCCATTTTTCCTCTTTTTCTTTTTGTTTTCTCTTTGCTTGCCACTGATAAGATTTCATCTTGTTATTTTATAGTGTGTGGGAGCAGCTGTTTTTAAGACTGACATGCTGTAGATTCTCTCCCACACTCCTCATCTCGCTCTCTTTTCTTTCTCTTTTTTGTTTCTCTATTCTTTCAGCTCCACACTTGGCATTCCTTGGCTCTCATTCGCACTACGCCACACTGGCTGGCACTCGACCATACATCAGTGAATATCCTGTTTTTATGTTCTCCCCCTTACTCGGCTGTGTGCCCCCATATACAGTTATCCCTCAGTTGTTTCCTCCTTTACAGCTCACATTCACAGGGTGGTGGTGAGTGTTTTTTTTTTTAAAGTAACCCATGGGACCATGTAGGCAAGCGGAGTCTCCAGTTAAATATTTCTTGCCTACGTGAATTTTTATCGTGCTGGAATCATGTCCCACCATCCTTGAGCTGTAAACTCTTCCACAGCTGATTCCTCTCTGGCTGAGCTCTCTATTAGCTGCTTTCACCCCACTTCTCTCAGTATTAGTGACCAGTGATTGCTTTTGGAATCCCAGTAGACACAAACAGGCATATTCATAAACAACACACCTAAAATGTGCCCAAACCCCAAATCATAGAGTCCCTTTTCGTTATGTTGCAGTCCCGTCCAGAGATTTCTTTTATATATTTGTTGTTTTTCTCTTTTTTTTAGTCCAAAACTTAGCACAAACACGACCATGTCTATATTTTCCGCTCCTCCTCTCCTCTCCATGCTTCATTATCCTCTCCTTTACCTTCTCTGGGTTTCTGGGTTCAACAGAATGATTTCTTTGTTTTTGTTTTTGTTTTGGGGGCCTCATCACCTCATGTGTTTTATGTATCGCTCCTCCAGCTCCTCCCCCATCTGGCCCTCCCTCTACACTCACACCAGGAGGCAGCTCCACCCTGTCCAAGAAGAGGCCTCCGCCCCCACCTCCTGGACACAAACGCACCCTGTCTGACCCACCCAGCCCGCTCTCTCACAGTCCACACAGTAAAGGGGGCTTAACTGGGGGTGAGGAAATTGCAGGGCTATTTTTATAGTCCTGCACTAAATAGAAAAACATGTCTTACAAGATAATCTTAAAATCTTAACTAAGGTCCACTTACTAGCTTTTTAAAGACGTGACCAGTTGAAGCAAACTCTTAAGAGCGGGAGATGCGGTGTAAAGGTCTAGAAAAAGCTTGTAAGAGGACCTTGAGTTAAGACTTATAGGTTAAGAATTAATTTTCATGCTCAAATGTTTAGAGGTGCCTCAGGGGTTTGAGGGTTATAATTAAGAGTTTTACAGACCAGGGGATACTGATACAGTTTGAAGGTATGTTGAATGGTAGTCTCAGCCTGCATATGGGGTTGCTTTTTATTATAATTTGAATTAATCTGATATTTCTCTAATTAACTGATGAATAATTTTGTCCAAGAAAGTCAATTTTTCACAGTTACAGTATAATTTGACCATTTTTAGACTTGTTTAGGAAATTTTTCAGTTTACTTTTACATTATATAAAAGAAAATCAAGAATTTGTCATACTTGAAATACTTAAATAATTTATTGATTATCAAAATAGTTGCTGATACATTTCCTGTCGAACTGTCATTTCAGCTCCAGGTATGTGTGGATCACATGTAGAAACATGCAGTTAAACTTCTCAACAGATGAGTGGCAGTTTGAACTAAATACTATATATTTTTACTATGAACAATTAAACGATTATATATCAAACTTGCACTCTGTGTGCTATTTTTATACGCGTTTCTAAAATTGAATGCCAATTACTATTTCAGACTAATTACAGCTACAGACAATTGCTAGGGTTGTTTATGTGCCTGATGAAATTAATTGAATGTTTTATTTCTCGTAAACCCTCAGCTTGACGTCCAAGTCATTATGGATGGTTGAAATGTGGAAGATTCCCAAGTTTACCAAGGTTTAATTACCTTGAATGATGGACATCATGATTACAGCAAGTTCAATATGATATGTATCAGAAAGAATGCCTTTTACTATTTTTGAGAAACTGTTTCTCCAGTAAACATTTACGAGTTCACCAATCAACATACATTCGAACTGCAGAGACATCCATGAGTTTGTCTTTCCAGGTTAGTCAGAAAAAACAGTAAAAGGACTCTCAATCACCACTAGGAGAGAAAAGGAGGCACTTCAGTCATCTTACCTGCATTCTTGGGTCCCTTATGTGTATAATGGGGATATTTTTACTGTTATTCCACTTGTATCATTTGTCCTCTGTGGTGTTTTGTGCATTCTGTATCACCCATACAGTAACACCCAACCACTAATTAGAAGATGACACTTTATTGCACAATCTAAGTTTCCAAACAACACGGGCTCATGGAAAGCTCAGCCAGATGACGCCTCCCTCATTGTTTTTTTAACCATCACAGCATGTTAATTTATTTCCACATTTATTTCAAATTAATCCCTCAGTTTGTGGTCTGTAATGGTGTCGAATAATCTGTTTCTCGTCATCAATGTCAATATTTTAGGAAGCGACTCTACCCCTCCTCCCATCAGCAAGATGTCTCCTGTTTCTAACAAGTTTGAAGGAATTCCTCAGCAGCAAAGGTACCGAAAAAATTAAACCATGTTGAAATTTTAAGCTTAATTGGCTTCAAATGTGTTGCATCACTCGCTATAATGCAATATATTCCAGCTGATGGAGCAAGTATCTTTTCAGATTCTGTTTTTCATTAAACTTTATCTGAATATCTTCTCCCAGCACTACTTCAAGCAACACAAAGTCTACACTTGGTCCAAGGGTTCTTCCCAAACTACCTCAAAAAGGTACAGTCTCTGTCCAGTTTTCATTTCAATGTCAGCTGTTACACTGAAGAAGTTATTTACAAACTCTATGCTGCTCTCTCTCTTTAGTGGCATTGCGGAAGATTGACACCATACACCACCCGTCTATGGATAAGTCCAGTCATCCTCCAGAGGTCTTCCAGAAGTCACCGCCGGCGACCGACACCCCGCAGAAGGCTCCTCCGGCAGAAAGGCCTCAGCTGGGAGACCTGCCTCCGAAGCCGCAGCTGTCTGAACTTCCTCCTAAACCCGGAGAACTTCCTCCGAAGCCGCAGCTCTCCGACCTCCCGCCTAAACCTCAGCTGGGAGACCTCCCACCCAAACCCCAGCTCAAAGACCTGCCTCCCAAGCCTCATCTCTCAGACATCCCCCCGAAACCTGGAACAGCTGAGTCCGCTCCCAGGCCGCCTCCTGGAGAGACGCAAAGGCCTCAAACGCAACCTCCGCCTCCACCTCAAACTCAGCCGCAGCCGCAGCCGCAGCCGCAGCCTCAGCCGCAACCACAGCCGCAACCGCATCCTCAGCTTCAAGATTCACCGTCACCTAATCAACAAGCAAATATAGGTACCCCCACCCAACAA